CCCTGGGGGGGAACCCCTGAACTGTCTGCAAGGCCCCCCACTTCCCAGTGAGCTAAAGCAGCCCAGCCTAACTCTCCTGTGGCTGCTCCTATGCCATCCTCATTTCACTGCCCTAGGTATGTTTTGCTGCAGCCAATGACTTCTTGCTTGCTTTTAAATAAATAACATGAGCAGTTGGGGCCCCTGGGGGAGAGCCTTGGCCTGCAGAGTGAATGGTCCCTGGGGTTGGATTCCAAGAGGCACATGGGTTGCAGGTTGCAGGCCCCTCCCAGGCCTGGGGCCTCATGTAGGAGGCAATCGATGCATTTCACATCAATGTTTCTCTCCGTCCTTCCTTCTCTCTTCTACTCTCCCTAAAACTCAATAGAAACATATCCTCGGGTGAGGATTAAAACAAAACCATTAATAAATAACTCCTAAATTATATACTGTCAAACTTTTATTTTTTTCTTTTCAATATAGTTTATTGATTTTTTTACAGAGAGGAAGAGAGAGGGATAGAGAGTTAGAAACATCGATGAGAAAGAAACATTGACCAGCTGCCTCCTGCACACACCGGGAAGTGCCCGCAACCAAGGTACATGCCCTTGACTGGAAGCAAACCTGGGACCCTTCAGTCCGCAGGCCGACGCTCTATCCACTGAGCCACACCGGTTTCATCTGTCAACTTTTCTTACACTGAGGAAAGTAACCTTTGCAGAGAAGAATCAAATGCATTTTTTTTTAAAAACACTCCCGCCATCTAGCCTGATATTCTTCAGGGCTATCCAACCACCCTCCCTTTTTATTTTTATTTTATTTTGTTATAGATCTTTTTATTTTTTACTTAATATATTTTTATTGATTTTCAGAGAGGAAGGGAGAGATAGAAACATCAATGATGAGAGAGAGAGACAGTGATTGCCTGCCTCCTGCACAGCCCCCTACTGGGGATCAAGCCCACAACCTGGGCATGTGCCCTGGACCAGAATGGAACCCGGGACCTTTCAGTCCGCAGGTCAGAGTTCTGTCTGCTGAGCCACACCAGCGAGGTAAGGCTCACATGCATTTCTTATGGTTCCTACAGGAAAAATATATATAAAAATTAATAGCAACACCGTAATAGCAACACCGTGTGCCAAACACCGTAAACATTGTCGCTTATAGTATCTCATTTACATATAATAAAGCACTTAATGGATAGAGAATACTGTAAAATTCCTTAAAGAGAAAAGTTTATGTATAATTAGTGTATTACACTCCACCTGGTAGGCAGCCCAGAATCAGGGAAAAAATCCGTGTCTCTTAGGAAGAAAAGGTGGAGTCTGTTTTTAACTAAATGCTAAGGTATGTGTTCCCAAATGTTCCCTAAGGAAAAGAAGGAAAAAATAACAGCCTTTAAAATGATCTCCGCACTTCTTGTCCCGCCTGCCTAAAATTAGAATCGAAATATCTCTGGGTCAGGGCGCAGATAGGAGTCAACTAGTGGGTACGTGGATAAGTGGAGCAGATCAGCGTTCCTCTCTCTCCTTTCTTTCCTCTAAAATCCAATAAAAATTTAAAAATAAATATCAAAATTAAGTAGTTTGGATTTTTTAAATTGCATAGCACCATCTTTTTTTTTTTTTTTTTAATATATTTTATTGCTTTCTTACAGAGAGGAAGGGAGAGAGAGAGCTAGAAACATCGATGAGAGAAACATCGACCAGCTGCCTCTTGCACACCCCCCACCAGGGATGTGCCCACAACCGATGTACATGCCCTTGACCAGAATTGAACCTGGGATCTTTCAGTCTGCAGACCGACGCTCTACCACTGAGCCAAACTGGTTTCGGCCATAGCACCATCTTTTGTTAAATTACACTATCATAAAGAAGTTACTTAGGCAAAGATGATTTTCCTCCTTTTAAAGAAGGTAAACTTGCATGGCTGAAGTGTAACCATTCAATACAAACATTTCCCCACCAACGATTGCTTGTGTCTGTTATTTTTCAATAAAGCTGGGAAGAATGGTCCTGCTGGTGTGACTCCGTTGTTTGGCGTCATCCTGCCCACCAGATGGTTGCTGGTTTGATTCCCCGGTCAGGGCACATGCCAGGGTGGCAGGCTTGATCCCTAGTAGGAAGCATACAGGAGGCAACTGACTGGTGTTTCTCTCTCACATCAATGTTTCTCCCTCCCTCGCCCTTCTTCTCTCTCTAAAAATCAATTTAAAAATCTTAAGAGGAGAAAAAAACAAAACTGGGAATAAAACCCACTATTGTTTGTTTGGCAAATGTTAACATCTTCGCCACCAAACAATACAGTATTAGTAGCGTCCCAGCACCCAGGGGGTGGGTTCTGTCTGAAGAAAGCACGTCCCCTCAATTAATAATTAATACAGTTTGGTGACTATGTCACACTGTCATACAGCAGTGAGTGAATTTCTCACACTTCCGTGCTGAACTTAGGAGATTGATGAAAGAAAAACAAAACACACAATACAAAACCAAAGAGCACACCTGGATTGGTAGGTCATTAAAAATTCCAAACAGCTGAGAAGTCTAAATCTGTTCCTTTCTTTCCTAACCATGTTCATTTATTGACTTAGATATACCCACCTGGTTTCAAATACTTGTCTCCTAGGTCTGAGATATTAATAATATAGCTCCCCCCCCATAACTGAATTTTTAAATTTTATTTTGAACTTTATTCTTTCTTTAATGCACAGGTTATATATTCAGTACCACCTAGAGAAAACGTTACCTTCACAAGTTTTTGTAAGCGTCTGAATGTAACAAATTGGGTCATATCGTGGGTGACATTTTTCACTTGACCCTACAGCGTGGACATCTTTCCATTTCAATAAGTATCGACATTATTCTTCCCAGTCAGACTCAAACACGATTTGCTGAAATAGCCCATGACTGGACTCAGTTCTTAACGACGGAGCCATGACTGGTTTCAGAAAGACGATTCATACAAGGTGGGCGCGTTCTGTCTGACCCCAGGGACCTCGGTACTTTTCCCTGCAAACCTCCCACTTCCTGCTACTCAGCTGCTGGTCACAGAGCCCTGCGGGGACGCGATTGGCCAGGCTCCTGGGCCAGGAATGCTGCAGCCGCTCCTGGCTGTGTGAACAGGCCTTCTATGGGCAACGGCAGCGCTGGTACCTGCTGCTCTCCTCCTCAGGCCTGTGCTTCCCGCTGAGAGTCAGACAGGGAGAAAGTCAGGAGCGGGGAGAGCCCGCCGCTCTCCTGCAGACCCGCCATGAAAACAAGATGCCTTTCTCGCCAAAACCGATTTGGCTCAATGGATAGAGCGTCGGCTTGGGGACTGAAGGGTCCCGGGTTCGATTCCAGTCAAGGGCATGTACCTTAGTTGCAGGCATATCCCCAGTGGGGGTTGTGCAAGAGGCAGCTGATCGATGACTCTCTCTCATCGATGTTTCTAGCTCTCTATCTCTCTCCCTTCCTCTCTGTATAAAATCAATAAAATATATGTTTAAAAATAAAAAAATATTTTTTTTTTTTTTTAAAAGATGCCTTTCACAAGAGCTGTGCACCCTGGGCTGGAAGCTAGCAATGACTGCCACTCCCGGTGCGGGCGGGCTGGAGCGTTCATCCAGAATATATATATTTTTAAAATGTATTTTTATTGATTTCAGAGAGGAAGGGAAGAGAGGGAGAGAGAAACACCCACGATGAGAGAGAATCAGGGATCGGCTGCCTCCTGCAAGTCCCCCACTGGGGATCAAGCCCACAACCTGGGCTTGTGCCCTTGACCGAAATTGAACCTGGGACCTTTCAGATAGAAGCCGAGGCTCTATCCACCGAGCCAAACCGGCTAGGGCAGGAATGTTTTTGTGTCGCTCACAGGGCTAGGGGGTGGGAAACTATTAAGTACAAAACCCAGGTTTCATCTGCAAAAACCGGAGGCCGCCGGCGACCTAGGGATCTTGTCTAAAACTCACAGAGCACAGGTTACAGGATCCGCCCCGCAAGCCGGGCCTTCCCCTCTGCCGGTGGGAGCGCAGCCCGGCCGGTGCTGTGGCTGCTGGAACCCAAACAAGACAGATTCCTTTCTGAGACAGGTTTCTCCCTCCGTCACCCACCAGCGACTGAAGCCCCTGCAGGCCGCACTCCTGCTTTGTAAGAGAGGGCTCCCCTCTGACCTTGAGCTGAGGGCCCTGTCCCCGGGCCCCAGGGTCCCCTTTTGGAGCAGGAAAGCTGCTTTTTTCCCCTCCGGAATGGTTTCCCAGTGCTTTGTTTGTTTTGTATTTGTTTGTTTAATAGTAGAGTATACTGTTACCCTTAGGACTCTCTCCTACCCTCCGTCCTCCGCCCGCCTTCCCCACGTCCACCGCCGGGGAGGAGGCAGGGGGCCGGTGTCCAGGGTGTCCGAGCCCAGGGCAGGCCCGCCCCCTCCGGAGCCGCTCCGGAACCTGAGTCCGAATCGGAAACCGAAACCGCGCCGCGAGGCCGACGACGGTCCCGGAGCCGTGAGTCAAGTTTGGATCCGCGGCCGGAGCGCGCACAGCGAGCCCCGCAAAGGGCCGCCTCCGAGCCGGAGGGCTGTCCCGCTGCGGCCCCCGCCGTACCGACCCGCCGTCCGAGGGGCCCCGTGGCGGGGTAGCAGCACCCGGAGGACTAAGCAGAGGAATCAAGTTCCGAAGCCTCCGGGCGCCGCGCTCCCCCGCCCCCGCCCCGGGGTTTGCTCAGCAGCCGGGGGGGGGGGGGGGGGGGGAGCCCGGAGGCCCCATCCCGGCGCGCAGGGCGCAGGGCAGCCCGGAGAGACCCGTCACCCGCGCGGGCGGCGCTGACTCAGCCGGGCGGGGGCGGGAGGGACCGGCCGGCGGGGCGGGGAGCCGGGCCCCGAGGGGTTAAGTGGGCGGTGCCGGCGGCGCCCCGCCCCCGGGCCCGCCCCCCGGAGGCCGCGGAGCCGTATTTATAGCCGCCGCGCCCGCCGCGCCGCGTCTCTCCCGCCGGCCCGGCCGCGGCCTCCGCCCTGCGCGTCCCGGCCCCGCGCCCCCTGCCCGCGCCATGGAGCGGCCGGCGCCCCTGGCCGTGCTGCCCTTCTCGGACCCGGCGCACGCGCTGAGCCTGCTGCGCGGCCTGAGCCAGCTGCGCGCCGAGCGCAAGTTCCTGGACGTGACGCTGGAGGCGGCGGGCGGGCGCGACTTCCCGGCGCACCGCGCCGTGCTGGCGGCCGCCAGCCCCTACTTCCGCGCCATGTTCGCCGGGCAGCTGCGCGAGAGCCGCGCCGAGCGGGTGCGCCTGCACGGGGTGCCGCCCGACACGCTGCAGCTGCTGCTGGACTTCAGCTACACCGGCCGCGTGGCCGTGAGCGGCGACAACGCCGAGCCGCTGCTGCGCGCCGCCGACCTGCTGCAGTTCCCGGCCGTGAAGGAGGCGTGCGGCGCCTTCCTGCAGCAGCAGCTGGACCTGGCCAACTGCCTGGACATGCAGGACTTCGCCGAGGCCTTCAGCTGCGCGGGGCTGGCGAGCGCGGCGCAGCGCTTCATCCTGCGCCACGTGGGCGAGCTGGGCGCCGAGCAGCTGGAGCGGCTGCCGCTGGCGCGCCTGCTGCGCTACCTGCGCGACGACGGGCTGTGCGTGCCCAAGGAGGAGGCGGCCTTCCAGCTGGCGCTGCGCTGGGTGCGCGCCGACCCGCCGCGCCGCGCCGCGCACTGGCCGCAGCTGCTGGAGGCCGTGCGCCTGCCCTTCGTGCGCCGCTTCTACCTGCTGGCGCACGTGGAGGCCGAGCCGCTGCTGGCGCGCTGCCCGCCCTGCCTGCGCCTCCTGCGCGAGGCGCGCGACTTCCAGGCGGCGCGCTACGACCGCCACGACCGCGGGCCCTGCCCCCGCATGCGCCCGCGCCCCTCCACCGGCCTCGCCGAGATCCTCGTGCTCGTGGGCGGCTGCGACCAGGACTGCGACGAGCTGGTCACCGTGGACTGCTACAACCCGCAGACGGGCCAGTGGCGCTACCTGGCCGAGTTCCCCGACCACCTGGGCGGCGGCTACAGCATCGTGGCGCTGGGCAACGACATCTACGTGACGGGTGAGTGGGCCGGCCCGGGGGGACTCTGAGCCGGCTGACCGCCCCCTGCCCCTGGGGTCCCCGGGGCTGGCCTCTGCGCCCCCCTGGGAGCGGGCCTGCCTCATCGGGAACCCGCAGAACCTGGACCGGGCACCGCGCCCAGCCCAGCGGGCACTGCCCGTCCCCTCCAGCTGGACTGCGGTTCCTCCCAAGCCGGTCCTCGAACTCGGTCCCCTCGGCCTAAAAGAAGGGCCTCCCGTGTGTGGGTGTCTCGGCGGGGAGCCCACAATTTTCCCCAGGAAGCGTCCCTCCCCCCATTGGGTTGGCAGAGACTGGGGCATTCACCCCGCACAATGGGTGCTTTCTTTCATCCCGAGGGAACCCAGCGACAGGCCCGGCCGCCGCCCTGTGACACATCCACCCCCTCCCGGGGCCTTCTCCCGGCCCAGGCTCAAGGCCGCGGGGCCGGCATTCGGTCCCCCCGGCCGGGCACCTGGGCTGAGCTGGTGTCACATGGTGTTTAGGCTGCGCGCTGCCCAGTGACTGTAAACAGAGTCACATGCCGGGAGGTTTTCTTGCAGGGACTTGGCTCAAACCCCAAAGCACTGCCGAGTCATGCTGGGCGGGCCCGCCGGCTTCTCCCACATTCTTTATTGAGGATAAATCTTGGCGCAGACGGAGGCCACCTCCTCGCGTGCGGTGAGGAGGGGTGGTCTGGGCGAGGGCTATATAAGGAAAGGAGCCGGCGCCGGGCGTGCACTGGGCTGCCCTGGGCTCGGTGAGGCTGTGGGCTGGGCCTGGCGCGGGAGAAAGTCGCTCTGAGACGGCAGGGTCCCTGTGGGCTCGGAGCTGACCAGGGGAAGGCCTCCCGGCCGGACACACCGCTCTGTGGCCACAGCTTCCTGACCCGCGGCTCGGGGCCGGCCTCTGCGGCCAGCCCCAGAACCGGCCCCTTTGCAGGCTGAGGCCGGCCCTGCGTTTGGGAGCCAGGCCCCCGCCCCCAAGCCTGGCCGGGAACTCCCTCCCAAAGCGGTCAGGCTGGCCCTGACTGCGCACCCTGAGTCCCAGCTGAGCAGCTAATCCTCCGGTCGGACAGGTGGCGGTCCTCCCGGCAGCTGCCCGTCGGGAATTTCACGGGGGAGCGTCCCTGCTGCCCTGGGCCGCAGTTCTCCCCTAGAAGGAAGAAGGCCCGCCGTCGTTTCCTCCCTTTGAAAAGCCCATGGCCGCCAGCCGGATAGAATGTCCCGGCTGCGCGGCCCGTGGCGCCAGCCAGGGGGGCAGGGAATGCAGCCCCCGGGTCCTGGGGTCCCCTCACCCCGGCGTCCACCGAGGTCCTGGGTGGACTTGTTTACTTCATGATTACAGTCAGCGCCGTTGGGCTTTGATGCTTATTCTATTTCCGCTCTTTCTGGAACTGTAGACAGAAGAGGATGTGTAAGCCGGGTGGGGAAAAGTAGTTTGACAGTTGTCTGCGTGGGAAAGTTTATTCTGGTCATTATTTATTGATCTTGTATTGGAAAGTGGATTCAGCTGTAAAGCTGTCCTTTTTAAAAAATATATTTTATTGATTTTTTTTAACAGAGGAAAGGAGAGAGAGAGAGAGAGAGAGAAACATCGATGAGAGAGAAACATCAATCAGCTGCCTCCTGCACACCCCCCACTGGGGATGTGCCCGCAACCAGTGTACATGCCCTTGACCGGAATGGAACCTGAGACCCTTCAGTCCGCAGGCCGATGCTCCATCCTCTGAGCCAAACCGGTCAGGGCTGTAAGCCTACCCCTGCCCCGCCCTGTGTTTGACACCTCGATGAGTTTTTCCTAAGTCAGGAACTGGCGCTCGGAAGGCCACTCGGCATTGCGTTCCGGGTTGGGTTTCCGGCTTGCGGCCTGAAGTGGGGGTGGCCAGGCCGCCTAGACTTCGGGGAATAAGTCCCTGTGCAGCCCGCTCCGGGCCGTGTCCCCACGAGAGCCACCTCTGAGGCCGGATGCCCTGGTCCAGTGGCGGAGCTGGACGTGTAGGTGGGTCCAGACTCAGGTTGTTTACTTAACAGCGGTGGCCCCAGGGCCTTTGCTTGGCCACAGGGCTTGGCGGGGTGTGTGTGGCAGGAAGCCGGCGCCTCGGGCAGTGAGCCTGGTCAGTCTGCATCGCCTCGGCGGAGGCTGGAAGCCCCGGGCCCAGGCGCAGGAGGCCATGTGTTGACATCAAAGTCCCGCGGAGGTGCTCCCGGGGGCGTACGGGAAGGCGGGGGCGGGTGACTCACCCCGCGGGCCGGCTGGCGGGCGCTGACGCTGCCCTGCTTGTCCCGGCAGGTGGGTCGGACGGCTCCCGGCTCTATGACTGCGTGTGGCGCTACAACTCAAGCGTGAACGAGTGGACGGAGGTGGCGCCCATGCTCAGGGCCCGCGAGTACCACAGCTCCTCCGTGCTGGACGGGCTGCTGTACGTGGTGGCGGCGGACAGCACGGAGCGCTACGACCACGCCGCCGACTCCTGGGAGGCGCTGCAGCCCATGACCTACCCCATGGACAACTGCTCCACCACGGCCTGCCGCGGCCGCCTCTACGCCATCGGCTCGCTGGCCGGCAAGGAGACCATGGTGATGCAGTGCTACGACCCCGGCACGGACCTCTGGTCGCTGGTGGACTGCGGCCAGCTGCCGCCCTGGTCCTTCGCCCCCAAGACGGTGACTCTGAACGGACTCATGTACTTCGTCAGGTGAGTCCCCGGGGCCCGGGGCCTCGTCCGGTTCTCGCCGCGAAGACCAGGCGGGCTGGTCTCTCTGACCTGCAGCCCCTGCTGACGGCCGTGTCTGGGCTGCTAGGCTTCCGTGGGGATGGGGTCCCCGGTGGAGCTGGGTCCTTCCGGGGAGCTTCGAGGCGCTAAATGGATGAAGCCCTTTGCCTGGACCTCCCCCTGGGGGCGCCCCGAAGGCCTTCGCTGGAAGCACCCTGTCCTGCGGAGAGGGATTCTGAACCGCAGACCAGGGGACACTGGACACTCGAGACTTGGGGGAACTTGTGGCCTTCTTTTTTTTCTAAAAATATATTTTATTGATTTCTTACAGAGAGGAAGGGAGAGGGATAGAGCGCTAGAAACATCGACGAGAGAGAAACATCAATCAGCTGCCTCCTGCACATTCCCCACCGGGGATGTGCCCGCAATCAAGGCACATGCCCTTGACTGGAATCGAACCCGGGACCTTCCAGCCTGCAGGCCGATGCTCTATCCACTGAGCCAAACCGGTTCTGGCGAACTTGTGGTCTTGACAGAACTTCCCTTTGCTCACTGAACAGTGTCCGCCCCACTCAGGCAGGCGGGGCAGCGGCCAGGTGGCTGGCCTGCCCCGCCCCCTTCTGTGACCAGTGCTTTTCTGCCGGTTCTGGGTCTGTGTGTCCCCTCCCCGCCTGGCATGGCACCAGGAGGGCCCTGACTCTGGCCTAACGAATGCTGTTGTCAGGGCCCCGCGGCCGCTCCGGACCGGGCAGGGCACGGTGCTGACCGGCTGCTGCTGCAGGGATGAGGGCAGCGGGAGCACTCGCTGGCCTGGACCTGCCGGGCGCTGCGCTGCCTGCTTCCGGGATGTTGGCATGGTTGGCCCCATCAGGTGGGCCCCTTGGTCGTCCGGTGTCTCAGATGGCGGAAAGAACTGCGGGCAGGGGGCTTACTGCCACGGGCTTCCCCCAAGGGAAGGGACAAGGTGCGAAACGAGGGTGCCAGGTCCCTGTGGAGCCACCGCAGCGTGGCAGCACCCACAGGCCTCGGTGACTAGTCACAGCCACGTGCCACCGCCACAGGCAGGTGGGCGCCCCGGGGCCAGCACCCTGCCCGCTGCGCACAGCTGTTCTATGTTCCCTCTGCTCCCCTCCCTGGCTCTGTGTGCACGGACCAGGAGGGAGGGGACCGTATGAACAGCATGCCCCTGTGTCCCCTCTGTCCCCTTCGGCGGGGACTTTGGAGCCTCAGAAGCTCCCCCGTCCACCCCCCAAGCCATCTGAGCTGCCACCCTTGCCCCCCGGGCTTTCTGGTGAGCGCGCCCAGGCAGGGGCCTTGCTTGCACGTGGCCGAGGGACCGGGCACTTCCATGGCCGGAGCCTGGGGGCTGCTCCAAGAAAGCCCTGGAACCTGCCAGCCCCTGTCAGACACCGCTGACCCTTCCCCCAGCTCTCCCTCCCGGAGGGAGCCGGGCAGTGTCCTCCGAGGGGCGGGGAGGCTATAAATACCTGGGAGCAGAGCCAGCCTCCGCGGCTGGTGCCTTTGAGAGCGTCCTCCGCCCCAGTCCCGGGCAGGTGCGCCCAAGGCCTCTCCTCCCCCGGTCTCCATCACTGTCGTTCCCCAGCCGCCCCGCGTGGGGGCCTTCGTAAGGGCTTACCTAAGCGTGGGGGCGAGGGGAGGGGGCCCAGCTCGGGCCCCCCCCGCCCCACGCCGGGCTGGGACGGCGAGTGGTCGGGAAAGGCAGCGGATGTCCTGGGTCCGGCCGGGACCCGCTCGTGCAGCAGCGCCCGCTCTGACGCGCTTGATGTCTCGCAGAGCCGCCCTGTGGTGCCCTCGGGTGCCTCTCGGGCCACACGCCCTGCTCGCGGCGCCACCCGCGGGCAGCTCTTGAGGGCGTCAGGGAGGCGGCGGCTGGTCGGGCCGCATCCCACGCCTGCTCCCGTCCTGGCTGTGATCAGGCCCCCCCGGTCACCCCCCCGGCGAGTCCGCCTCGGTCCCCATTTAAGCGGCTGCTGGGCTGGGGGTCAGCAGAGCAAGGGGCTGGCAGCACTGCCCACCTGGCCCCCTTCTGCTCGGGCGGACCCGCTGGTTCCGGGGTTAATCGCCGTGGTGTGTGCGGGCCGCAGAGGAGGAAGGGCTTTTGCATTTTGAAGTAACTTGAGGGGAAATCAAAGCTATTTTGTTTGTTTCTAAGTATCTTTTTATTCATTTCAGAGAGAGGAAGGGAGAGGGAGAGAGAAACCTAGACATCAGTTGGCTGCCTCCTGCACACCCTCTATGGGGATCAAGCCCGCAGCCCGGAAATGTGCCCTGACTGGTGCCTGGGTCAGTGGTCAACCACTGCACCACACCGGCCGGGCAAGAGCACCGTGTCATGACGTGGAAAGTGTGCACTGGCAGATTTCTGCAGCCCGTGAGTGCGCGTGATTGGAGCCGCCAGCCGCTCTGTTACAGGGGCCGTGGCCGCTGGTGCCGGGCCTGAAATCTCCGTTTGGCCTGCCGGCTGCTGCTCTATTCTGTGGGTCTCTGCTTTCCAAGGCCGTGCCTGGGCCTTTAATACAGGGGTCAGGCGTGTGTCAATCAGGGTGACCCCAAAGGGAAGGGTGGCTCGGGGGCACCTCCCGTCGGTAGCCGTGGTTACCCAGCTGTGCTGAGGACGCACAGTGCACGGGGTGGGATGGGGCTGGCAGCGCGGTGAGGCCGTGGTTGGTCGAGGATCGGTCCGGGCCACGTGGGGGTGCGTGATCGGATGGTCGGCCACGGAAGGCTGGCCTGAGAGGTGGCACAAGCCCACGTCAGAAGGACGAGGAGGGTGGGGGAGGAGAAGGACGATGACGATGAGGTGGGTGGGAAGAACCCCGATAAGTTAAAGATCTGAAGGCGGGCTGGCTGCAGCGAGGGGAGGGCATGGGTTGGTGCAGGTGCTGGTGGTAGGGAAGGGGATAGGAACCTGAGGGTGTGATCCTCGGGTTCAGGGAGAAAGGCTGAGTGCAGGCACCTCAGAACCCAGGCCAGAGGTGGGGGTGGGGCCTGGAAAGAAGCCCCCAACGGTGAGAGGCTTGGAGGAGCCTCCTCTCCAGTCCCTGCCACCCACTCTCCCTCCCCTCCACAGGGACGACTCCGCGGAGGTGGACGTGTATAACCCCGGGAAGAACGAGTGGGACAAGATCCCGTCGATGAATCAGGTGAGTCTGCCTGCGTGGGAAGCCCAGGCTGCCCTGGGGAGGAGAGTTCTCCGGAGGCCGCACGTGCAAAGGCCCTGGGGCACGGCGAGCCCGGTTCCTAGAACAAGGTCTCAGCTGCTGTGGCTGCTGCTGAGCGAGCAAGCTGACAACAGAGGGGACAAGGTCAGACGGGACGTCTTTGGGGGCTGACCTTGGCAGTGTACTCAACGCCTGCTGTGTGCTCTGAGCTGGGCCCCACTCGGTGCTGGTGATCATGCCTGATCGGGTCTCGCCTTCTCCTGCGCGTCCAGGAGGGAAGTGCTGAGCCTGAGAGTGTCGTGGAGTCATGAGGCCAGGGCAGCATCTGGCCACGTGGGCAAATTTCTTCCGTCCCAGACCCACCTCCACCACCTGCATCTTTTCTTTTTTTAAAATATATTTTATTGATTTTTTACAGAGAGGAAGAGAGAGGCACAGAGAGTTAGAAACATCGATCAGCCGCCTCTTACACAACCAAGGCACATGCCCTTGACCGGAATCGAACCCAGGACCCCTCAGTCCGCAGGCCGACGCTCTATCCACTGAGCCACACCGGTCAGGGCAATCTTTATCCTTAAGAAATTGACTTTACATTTTCCCCAAAGCGAGCTACACGTTCTAAAGCAAGTGCGAGGAAGACGGTGGCCCAGCCTCACGGCTCAGCGCTTAGTCTCGGGTCGTCCCAGAGGCTCGGCGCCCCGTCAGGCGGGGAGACCGGTGCTGCTCCCAGGAGGCTTCGCCTCTGCAGCGCCCTGAGCTCGGCCGGGACTGCGCGTGGAGCCCCTTTCCGGGGTGGGGGATGGGGGTGAAGGGTGCTGGCGGCTCCCGGCCCCCGGCCTCATGTCCAGAAGCATCGAGGCCGCCCCCCCTCGGGGTCCCAGGCGCCTCCTCCAGGCCGGTACGGGCCTCCCCTCACCGGTGCCCTCGGCCCACAGGTGCACGTGGGAGGCAGCCTGGCCGTCCTCGGCGGGAAGCTGTACGTCTCGGGCGGCTACGACAACACGTTTGAACTCTCGGATGTGGTGGAAGCCTACGACCCCGAGACGCGGGCCTGGAGCGTGGTGGGGCGGCTCCCGGAGCCCACCTTCTGGCACGGCAGCGTCAGCATCTTCCGCCAGTTCATGCCGCAGACACCCTTGGGTGGGCGCGGCTTCGAGCTGGACAGCAGCGCCGGCGACGTGGACGTGGGCCCGCCCGAGCGCCCCCGCGAGCTGCACTAGCCCCGGCCCGGCCCGGGGAGGGCCGCGATGCAGGTACCCCAGCGCCTGGGGGCGGCGACCCGCCTCCGAGCCTGAGGACAGGTTGGGCTCACCGGGTGGGACCCTCTGCATCCAGACCCCGAGTCACAGCTGCGGGGTCAACGCCGCTGTGAACGGCCCTCCCTCGGCCCAGGAAGGACTGCCTCCTCAGGCCTCCACCCCTGCCCCCGCCTCCCCACTGCCACCCCCTCTCACCCACCTCCGGGGGAGAGAGCCACTCGGGATGAGTGGAGGGGTCAGGACGCATTGGGGATCAGGCAGGTGATGGCTGTTCCCCGGATGAAGGGGGTTGCGCACAAAAACACTCCACAGGGCCAGGCCTCCGGCAGCTGAGCTCAGCCCCAGGGGCGCGGGGCAGTGGGACATGTGGCTGTGAGGAGCCCAGAGGGCCTGCTGAGTGTGCCCATGCACCTGGGCTGAGCCTGATGTTGGTGTCGCTGCCCACCCATCCCACCAGCTGGCATGTCCGCCCTCCACCCTGGCTCAGAGGCCTCCCCGTTCGGACCCAGTGCAGTGGGTAAAAGCCTGCAGGTGCCACGGTCGGGCTCCCTCTCGGAGGTGCCGGGAGCTGGCTTTGACGTCCTCGCCTGTGGTCGGGAGCCCTGGCTCGGGAGCAGCCCGGGCAGCGTGGCTTCGGGTGGGTTGCACGGTTTGAAAGGCAGTTTGGGCTGAAGAGGCGGCGGGAGCAGGGCTAGTAGTTACCTGTGATCTGTTGCAGGCCTCTGCGGGGGCGGGGGACCCGGGAGGTGGGCGCCAGGGCTCAGGGCGTGTTTCTCCGGGGCAGAGCGCGTTCCTGTGGATTGGGTGGGCTTGTCCCTCGGGCCCCGGCGTAGCTCTGCTGGAGTTGGCCTCCCGTCCAGTGAGGAAGAATGTACGTTCTCACCAGGAGAAGGGGTTCGCGGCCCCTCACAGATGCCACTGAAGACCTTGCGTGGCCAGTGGCCCCGGCTTTGGGAGGAAGCCTGTGGCCTCCAGGGCTGCTGGCCGGGCCCTGCTGCGTGTGGTCATCGCGGAGGGTTAGACCCTGTGTCCAGACACCTGCTGGGCCACAGCTCACCACCAGCCCTTCCCACCCCGTTGGCATCCCTCCCACTGAGGGCGGGCAAGTAGGGGTCGGGATCAGAATGAGCCTTCAGACGTGTCTCCCCGCCCTGGGGTTCAGACTGGGAAGCCCCCACCACTTACAGATGAATGTACTGACTTTGGGACAGAGGGCTGGACCAGCTTGGGGTGGGACTGTGTGGGGGGCACACCCTTTTATCAGTCCAAGACGAATTAAGTTATGAGCTCGGGATGGTATTTAATGCTGACCCAGCGTATCCTGTATTTATGACTAGCCACCCTCCCCCCGGCACCCAGGCCGGCCCCGAGGGCGGGGGTTGCGTATTTATTGTCTGTTCTGGAGGCAGATGTCCTGTCCAGAATGCTGTAAGGTTTTAGGGCGCCTTCGATACTTTTTGAAATAAAAATGTTTCCTATACACTTGGAGTCATTCCTTTTCTCTGCTGGCATCTCGGGCCGGAGGCCAGGTGTGAGGCGTCCAGTGCTGGGCAGGGGCAGAGCGCCATGCCAGGGCGCGCTAAGGGCCAGGGGCAAGGCCCTTCCTCATCTTGAATGACAAGGTGTGAAGTGGGGGAGGAGGCCTGCTGGAGTGTCCAGGGCCCGCCTGCTACTACTGGCCTCCCTCCCGCCTGTGGGCGCTCTGTCCTCGCCCCACCCCCAGTCCAGCCTGATGCTCTGCAGTGGGTGAACCTGGACCTGGGTGGGGGTGCCCAGGGAGGACGGAATCCTGGAGCCCAGAAGCTCAGAAGCATCACCTGCTGGAAAGCAGGCCCTTCTGAACCCAAGAGAAGGGCAGTGCCTGCGCTGGGAAGGGCATTTTGAGGCCAGTTTGCCTTTTTTGCACTTTCGAGCAGCTCATAATTGGGTGTCAGTCATTGCACTTGAGCTCACTACCTGAGCTCCCAGTGGCCAAGGAGTGGAAGATGGGGAGGGGGTTCCTCACCAGGAGGCCTCAGCATGCTGCGGGCTGTTCCAGGAACCCTCCAGGGGCTTCCGGCTCATGGGGTCACGATCACAGTTTGGGGAGGGGTATCCCGACCATTGCTACCACCTCCCAACAGCAGCACTGCCCCTGGGGCATCTGGAGGCGCATAGGCTGATGCCTCCCCAGGGTGGGGGCTGCAGCAGAGGAGACACTGACTTCGGGGCTGGCACGCAGAGCGTCCCCCAAGTGCCAGGCTGAGTGAGCCGTCCTGAGAGCAGCCCCAGACCTAGGGAAGGTCTGGGGGTTGCTATCTCGCAGTGATAGCAAAATGGGGGCTCTCACTTACCCCCTCTATGAAGCATGTGCTGTTGCTAATTCCATCAAAGACCACATGAAGCGGGTAGGAACTTGCCCGGGTCAGCTCTGATGCCTCCCGCACCGTGACGAGCAGCACCTGCTCCTGTCCCCGGGTCACAGGCAGGAACCTCTCGCCTGGGCAGGCCTTGTCTGCTCCCAGGCCTCCTGGACACCTAACCAGCCTCGGGCCCTTTCCTCGGGGCAGTGTGCGGCCAGCGGGGTCCAGAGCAGCTCAGCCATGGGCCGGCCTCCTCAGGCCCGTTATGCCCGGCCGCACACTCCTTGGGTGCGAGTCTGGAACCAGTGAGGCCATGGGGGGAAGGGGGATAACTGGCTGACCCCAGGGCTCAGGGAAGTCAGCTTGTTCCTGTGGATCTGCTCCCTGCCCCCACGCTACAACCAACTGGACGAGGGCTGGGAGACAGATGACTGACCTGGGCCAGAGGCGTGGCCCCCAAATTGCCTGCCTGGGTGTCCTGCTGAGGTCCGAGAAGGTGGGAAGGGCTGGCTCAGGTGCAGAGGCTCAGCCTGCGGTCTGCTCTGGGGGCTGGGAAAGCACGGCCTGGCGGGGCTGGGACAGACAGGACGGGGATGAATGGCAGATGGCGAAGGGGCTGAGCAAGTGCGGAGCACGTGGTTTATTGGGGAGGGCCGGGCCGGGGCTACGAGTCACAGTCCTCGGGGATGGCCGCGGTGATGAGCAGCGAGGGCTCCATGACGCCCGGGAAGCCCTCCTCGGCGCACAGTCTCTGGGCGGGGAGCGGTGGCGCCAGGCCGCCCTGGGCCAGCGACTCCACGATGACCTCGGCGGAGCCCACCTCCAGCTCGGCGGGCGGCTGCAGCGCGACCACCACCACCTTCTCGTCCTCGATGACCAGGTTCCGCAGCTTGCGCTGCCGCGGGCTGTAGTTCTTCACACGCTCGTGGATCTCCATGTGCCGCCGCAGGTGGGCCTGGGGGGAGCGGGGCTCAGGCTGGGCCGGAGGCCCGGGGGGCGGGGGGGTGACGGGCCTACCTGCCGCGTGAACTTGTAGCCGCACTTGGTGCACTCGAACTTGCGCACGCCCTTGTGCCTCCGCACGTGCACCCGCAGCTGCTCCACGGCTGTGAGGGAGGCCACGGGGGGTTAGAGGGCGGGGACGGGGCGTGGCGGGGCCTGCCTGAGTTGGCGTCCCCGGGTTTTAACCGCTGCTCGGGGCCCTGCCACCTACAGTGCCTCCGCGGTCACTACTGCATAGGACCGGGAGCTGCCACCGCCCCCCTCGTCCCGTTTGAGAGAGATGAGGATTAAACACGAGCCCCTGCTTCGTTATCACTGCTGGATGGCACCCCCGACCTCGACGGGGACTGGGAGATCCCCGCCAAGAGGCCACGGCTGCCCGGCCTCTCCCAGCGGCGGCCCCGGCCCTGGTGGGCAGCAGTGCAGACACAGCCTCCCCCGCCGGGGCTCAGGGCAGGTGGGCGGGTACCTTTGAAGGTCTTGCCACAGATCTGGCAGAAGTGGGGGCGGCCCTCCTGGTGGCGGCTGGCCACGTGCCGCAGCAGCGGCCCCTTCTCAGTGAAACGCTGCTCGCAGAACTCGCAGCCGAAGGGCCGCTCGCCGGTGTGCGTGCGGTGGTGCTTGTCCAGGCTGGCTGTGGGGGCGGCGAGTCAGCGCGGGGCGGCCCGGGGCACTCCCCGCGGGGACTGGGAAGGGGTGCGGGGGAGGCCCGCTCACCTTGGGTGCGGAAGGTCTTGCCGCAGAGGTGGCACTGGAAGGGCTTCTCGCCCGTGTGCGTGCGCAGGTGCGTGTTGAGGTTGGCCTTCTGGGTGAAGGCGTGGCTGCAGAACTCGCAGACATAGGGCCGCTCATTCCTGTCCGGGTGGGGGACACGGACGGGCCATCACCCAGGGAAGGGGCCCCTTCACTCCACTGCAGCCGAGGGCCCAGGCCCTGGCCAAGGCAACAGCGAGCACGGGGACCCCACCTCCTGCCAGGGAGGTACAGAGCCCTCTCAGCCTGGAGCCCCCTCCCCCTCTGCCTGGCAAACCTGCTCGGCCCTCTGATGCCCCTGCAGGCACCACTCGGGGTGGCGGGCACTCTGCCTTCGGGCAGCCCCACCTGTGCTTGGCTTTGGTGTGCATCTGCAGGCCGTTGCGGCTCGAGGCCCGGTGCCCACACTCCTCGCACACAAACAGCTTCTCTCCGCGGTGCTTGAAAGCCTCGTGCAGCTGCAGTTCGGTCCGGGACAGGAAGCACTTGGCACAGGTGGGGCACTGCAGGGCCGAAGGGACCGGACACGGAGCGGGGTGAGGGCAGGGCGGGGCTGCCCAGGAGCCCGCACCCCCTGGACACCCAGCGTGGCAGATGCCGCACAGCCGCCCCCGGGGCAGCTCCAGTCCCAGCGTCTGAGCATGCTGCCCAGCCCCGCCCCGCCCCGCCGGGCACTCACAGCGTGGGGCTTGGGCGCTCCGTGCAGCCTGATCATGTGGCTCTGCAAGTCCTTCTTCTGCATGAACTGCTGGGAGCAGGAGGAGCACTGCAAGACAGGCGCGGGCACCTAAGGCGCCGCACCCACCCGGGCACCAGAGGGCAGGGCACCCACCCCGGCCACCCTGCGAGGTGGGGGGACAGAGAGCAGGGCACCCCACCCCGGCCACCCTGGGCGGTGGGGGGACAGAGACCTGGGTGACACCCACGCCGGGAAGGCGCCCCATGCCATACCCGCAGGAGCTGAGCCTGCCCTCTATGGCAAGAAACAAGGGCCAAAAAGGACCAGTGGCCCAGCCTGAGGTGTGGGCACCGGATGGGCAGGGGAGGCGGGGCTGCCAGGGGGAGGCACCCAGTGGGAGGGTCCTGGGGACAGGCCGAGCCTGACCTTGTAGGGCATCTCCCCCGTGTGGGACACCATGTGCACCCGCAGCTCCATCCTCCGGCGGAAGGTCTCCTGGCACACGGAGCACGTGAAGACCTGGCGGTATGAGGGCAAGCAGGGCGGCATCAGCGGGCGCCTCTGCCGGTGACAGCGGCCTCTGCCCTCTGCCCGCTGCTGGGAGGAGCCTGCCCGAGGAGGGGCCACTAGGGTGGAGAGGGAACATGCAACCTGCCTGCCTGAGCCTGACTGTCCAAACCCCCCACCAGGCCCCTCAGGTCCAGCAGACAGGGGGCAGGGGCCTAGCGGCCTTGCCTTTAGCCCTGCACCACGGTACCCCTTCTCCAAAGCCCAGGGGCCTGGCAGGCAAACCCCAAATGCCTCCTGCGCTGTCCCTTCCACTCTGGGACCTGTGTCCCCACCTGGAATACCAGGCAGCCACCTGACGGCATCCAGGAGCCTGCGGCTCTCCAAGTGTGCGGGGCCCTCCCGAGGGCGGAGGCTGCATGCCCGGCCCACACCGGGCAGCACGCACCGGGCAGCACGCACCTGCTCGGAGCGGTTCATACAATTCCGGGCTTCGTGCTCCAGGAGGTTCTCCTTCCGGAAGTAGCACTTCCCACATTTGGGGCACTCGAAGGGCTTCTCCCCAGTGTGTTTCCTGCCAGAAGCCACAGGGGGCGTGGGGCTGAGCCACTTCCCGCCTCACCCTCGCCCAGGGCCCCCTCTGGTTCTCACCACACGGTTTTCACTCCCTTATTATGTGGGTCTTCTCCCCTTCATGGCCCAGCAGTGGGGAGCACAGGCCCCTCCCCCGACGTGGGACATGCAGACAGGAGAGCAAACAGAAACACGAGCGTTTACCTGTTGTGGACTTTCAGGTAGTATTTGCTGAGGAACTTTTTATGACAGGTGGGGCACTCGACCGGCACCGCTGTACCTTTTCTGTTCGCGGGGGGCTCGGCTGCCAGAGCGCCTGCGCTCAGGGCTGGCTCGGCAGGGCAGGGCTTTCTGAGCGCGTTTGACTTCCTCCTGGTCAGCATGGTCTCTGTCTCAGAAACACAGTCGCCATTCCCGTCATCCTCAACTTGAACCACCACTTCCCACTAAAGAGGCAGGAGGAGGAGGCGTGTCACCCAGCTCATCAGCGGGGCCCCTGGGGTGGATGCAGCCAGCTCCATCCCAAGGCCCACCCAGGCCCGTCCGCAGACCAGCCCCCAGGCCTGTGGCCGTTCCCATCAGAATCTTGCACTGAGGCAGGGGCACCATCGTGGGGAACTGGAAGAGGCTGGATTTCACTGTCCTGGGGAAAGGCCTGTGACTCTGATGCTGCCCACGCCACGCCAAGAAGCTGGCAACCACGGGCAGCGGAGGCTGCAGGGCAAAGCCAGCTTCCTGTGTTTGGCAAAAGCCTGTTTTAAGCCCACACAACAGGGATTCTACCTGGGGGCCCAGCTTATGCCAGAAAAGTGTCAATCTCTTCCCCCTATGCCCACTTCCCCCATCTCCAGCACCCTGCACTCAGTACCTCATTACTCCTGCCCTGCAGCTGGGCACCTTGAGCCTCCAAGGGCCTCGGGGGCGCTTTGCAATCCTCGGGCTCCTTGTCCTCCGGGGGACACAGCTTGAGGGCCTGCTGGAGTTTCCCGCGCAGGGACGGGCTCTCAGTCAGAGCAGGCAGCCCAAGCTGCAGCCTCGGAGGGCTGGTGCTGCCGCCGGGCTCCTGATCCCCGGGGACGTGACTCACAGCCCTCGAAGCTTCCTCTTCCTCCACGCCTGCCAGCTCCTTGGGGTGGCTGCTCACATCCCGGGGGGCAGGTTTCTCCAGACCACCCTGGCCACCTGGTGCCTGTCCCGCCGAGGGCGTGGGGTGGAAGCTCTGGCACAGTGCCACAGCCTCCGGCACACACAGCTCCCTGGCTGCCAGGAGCACCTGGTCCCGGTTCCCTGACGTGAGGGCGAGGTGGCCCGTGTAGAAAAAGTCCAGCAAGAGGCCAAAAATCTCCGCGAAGCCGGCCGGGAGGACGACGCTGCCCCCGGAGCCAACCCCATAGAGGCTCTCGAAGAAGTGGCTGCAGCAGGCGAGGACGCTCCAGTGGGCCTTGAACACCAGGTCGCCCACGGCCAGGGTGGCGTCGCAGTACTGGCCTTTCTCCCGCTGCCTGTTGAGCTCCTGCAGGACCCTCACGCTGTGCTGGATGAAGGAGCCATCCATGATCTGTCTGGAGGGGAGGAAGGCAGGAGTGACGCCCTGGCCAGCGCAAGCCGGGGGTAAAAGAGAAAGCCCGTGCATTTACGAAGTGGGAGAGGGGAGGTGGCTTCTACTCAGTCACATTTAGCATCACGAGAATCGGATCGAAACTAGAGTGTGCATGCAGAGGCGGGAACAGACTGAAAGCTTCCCGGGTGAGCAGCCCATGTTAGGGTTGGCCAGAGAGTGGGTAGCGGGGCGCAAGGGGACTGGGTGAGGGGAAGAGGTATGGCTTGGCGGGACACAGGGGAGGGTCAAGGGGCGCTGCTGGAAGGGATTGAAGTGTGAGGAAAGGAGCAGCGGATCGGCACGCACTGATCGGCCTGGCGCAGCGAGAGGACCCGTAGCACCGGAGGGCGGCGGCTGCACGCGAGTGAGCGAAGCCCACGCCGCTCCCGTGGCTCCCGAGCGGCCGGACGTAAGGCGGCCGCAGCCCTTCCCTCTCTCGCCCGCGCCCCGCCCTTCTCACCCGGGCCGGTCCTCCCTGCGCCGGCCCCACCGACACCAGACGCCTCCACGCCACAGCCCCACCCGCCAACTGCCCGGGGCCGTGTGTGCCCAGCCCACACTACGGAGCGGAGAGACGCCGCCGTCGCCCACGCCGGACGTGACGTCATGGCGCGCCCGCCGGGGTGGAACACCTGAAAGGCGCAGGGTTTTAGCGCTAGCATTTGGGGGCGGGGCCACGAAGAAGGCGACCAATGAGATGAGAAAGGGAAACGGGGGCGGAGCCAGGCCCTGGACTTCCGTTCTCGGCCGCCTCCCAGAGCTGCCTAGCAACGCCAAGCTGGCGCGGGATTTTCCTCCGGTTCTGGTCGAGGCCTGAGGTGTGTGTGTGTTTTTAAATCCTCACCGAGGATATATTTAATGGTTTCTGCTCTCAGGCGCCCAGACCAGGGTTAGAACCCGCAATCCCTTGGTGCACAGGACGCCATCCAACCAGCCCAGCCTCCGGGCGAGGGCACATGTCCCCTCTTTATTGGTCGCCCAGGCGCCGCCCCGACACTCTGGCCCGCAGGAGTCTTTGAAGTGGCGGCCGAGGCTCCCAGGCCGCTTCCTTCCGACGCTCCAGGAGCCGCGGGGCGGGGCGATGAGATCTCGCGAGATTCTCGCGCCGCCAGCGCCGGCGACCAGCATGGCGGACGCCCTGCCGCCGCCGAAGCGGGGGTCCCTCCGCTCCACGTGGGCGCGATGCCGCAAGGCCCGGCCCCAGCTCATCCTCAGCCGCCGGCCCCGCCGCCGGCTCCGGCTCCTGCGCTGGGGCGGCCGGCGGCTCCTGCGGCGGCGGCTGCTGCAAGCCCAGGCGGCCGGCGCGGACTGGCGGCAGGGCTGCGGGCCGGCGTCGCGCTCGGCGGCTGCCCCGAGGCCCAAGACCGCGGTGTCCATCCCGGTCCCTCAACCGGCCCCCAGCCCGACCCCCAGCCGGGCTTCCAGCCCGACCTCGGACGAGGACGCCGCCCCGAGTGGCCCCGCGAAGCTCGCCATCCCGCCGCTGCGGCCGGCCGGCGCGGGCCGCGCGTTGCTGCTGCTGCCGCGGGAGCAGGTGAGTCGAGCGCCCGGAGAGCCCGGCGGGCGAAGGGGAGGGCGGGGGCGCAGCCCGGGGTGGCGGCCGGGAAGACCGAGAGCCCTCCAGGCGGTGGTGCTGAGAGAGGTAAGGAGGACTGTGCTTTGGGAGATGCCTTCAGGGCTGAAAGGGGCTTGAATGGCGGTGGTTTGGGTAATGGGGTCGCGTTTCCTGGGTGCCTAGTGACGTCAGGCGCTGCGTGTTCTGAGGGTCTTGGTTGTATTATATGAACATTGTCCTCGCAGCTCACCTGGAGTCCCTGCCGCGATTGCTGCGAACGGTGACAGGAAGAACTGAGGGTTGGCTTAGGTAACTTCCCAACAGGGACACGGTAGTAGGGTCCGCAGCCTGATTGCAGGGTCCCTGCTGTTCGCCGGGTCTCTGGTCTGGGCGGCCCCCTCCAATGAGGAGGGAAATAAAAGCCTGCAGCGCAGAAGCCTAGGCAGACAGGGAGCCAGAGGAACCCTTGTTTTCCACGTGTTCATGCTCCCCAGCTGCCTCGGGATGCAGTCTTAGGTCAAAAACACGCAGTCCCTGAAAGGCACCCCCTACAATGTCTCCGTTATTTAGAAACCTGCCACCGTTTGATATGTGACTAGCAATGAAGGTTTTAGAAAATTCAGTCCCTATATAATGTTATTCCTTTTCTTTTTTTCTTCCCCTGCTAGGTCTTTACCTTCAGCGGGACCTGTCGAGTGACCTGCCTTTACGGCCAGGTGCAGGTGTTTGGCTTTACCATTGGCCTAGGCCAGCCTTCCCAGGACGTCTTCTCCACCTACACCCACTCTCGCCTGGCACTCAGCGCTGTCCATTACTCGGCGCCTGAGAAAAGCAAGAAGGAGATGAAGAGAGAAGCCCGGGCTTTGCTCAGAGCGCATCTGAACCGGGGTAATGAGGAGACCTGGACCGTCTGCTGAGGGTGCTGTGGCTGATAAGGTTTAGATGTGTATTATGGCCTAGACATCGCCCCCTTTGCTAGATCTCCTTAAACCCGCACTGCCCTGGCTAGGTGGCCCAGTTTGTTGGATCATTATCCTTTATACCAGTGGTCGGCAAACCGAGCCTTTGCCTCTCTGTTGACTAATGAGTTTGCCGAACACTGGTTTATACCACAGGATGGGGCGGGGGGAGGGGGGGGATGTCCCATTCCTGGTGAGGGCACATATTTGTTTTCCTCTCCCTCTTCCTCTCTAAACAGCTTAGCTGGTTTGCTCAGTGGTTAGAGCATCACACCCCCAACCCCAACTGAAGAGTCTCTTGATTCTGGGCAAGGACAAATTCCATGGTAGTAGGCTTGATCCCCTGGCAGGTCCAAGGAACAACCAATTAGTATGTCTCTCTCACATCCATGTCTTCCCCCTGCACCCCTTCTCTCTCTCTTCCTCTTTCACTTCCACTCTATCTAAAAATAAACGGAAAGAATATCCTTGGTGAGGATTAATAAAAACAAATAATTAGTTCGTTAAATATATCCTCAGATGAGGATAATAAAAATAAACCCTAGCAAATGTCCTGAGTGACCTTTCACCATACTGTTTTCACCAATTTACAGAGAAAAGTTGCCCAAGGCCACACAGCTAGTATGACTCCTCAACCCAGGTGTGTTCCACTTATGCAGTCCGGCCCAGAAAAAGGCTCTCAAACGTAATGTCCCCCTCTAAAAGCTCCCGGTTCAGCCGAGGAAGTGCGGCCCGGAGGGCGTAGAGTGTAACGGTAGTTTAACCGCTCCCAGATGACAGGAGCTGGGTGATGAAGAACCTCTCCCCGCTGTGCTCCGTGGTGCTGCTGGAAACCCTGAAAAGCTCCGCCGTGCGCTTCATAACCAGCCACCCGGGCCTGTCCTACGTCTTCGAACAAGAGGTAAGACCGGCTCCGCTCAAGAGTTTTGCAGACGACTTTGCCAGAGCGGTCATGTCACACTGTGTAGGCGCTCCCCTCGGAGGTCAGCCTCCTGTGCGTGTGACCCCCAGGCTGTGGGACGTGTGCTCGGTAAGAACGGTCACTGTGGAAAGGTATACCCTGAAAAGGGCCCCCCTTAGTTTCATTCCCAGCAAAAGCCATCGTCTTGTATTGTAGTCGGTTAAGTGCTTGTTGGCATTTTACAAAAGTGGTTATCTTGTATCTGGACTCATTAACCTGAGACTGGAAGTTTCCTCATAGCTGTGAATGAGTGATTTCGGTGTACTTGCACCTCCTCCCGCGCTCTCTTCTCGCCTGTATATTTTGCTGATCCTGTTGATGATTTCCTAAAGTCCAGTTTGTACTTTCATTGCCTCCCGTGAGCCAAAAAGGTGAATCTAACCATAAGGTGGTTGGACAGACTGGATGGTGAAAAAGAACCGAGGACTAACAGGCCTTTGGGGCTCAGTGCCGGGGTGCCTGGCGGTTCTGTTAACTCAGACTGGGCGATCTCAGGAGCGGATGTAGGCATGTGCACCTTGAGGTGCCTGTTAGATGTCTGGACTTCGGAGAAGCGGTTGGGAATGTAAACGTGGAGCTGTGAGAGAGGAGGATCCAAAGGCCTCAGCACCGAGGGAGTGATTGAGAAACGGGAAGGTTCCAGGTCTGAGCCCGAGGCACTCCCAGGAACCGGGCTCCGTGAGACCGAGACAGTGTGGTCATTGGTGTCAGGACTGAGGCCTGCTCCCTCCTTTTCTAGAATCCAGAGTTGCTGAGAGCAAACCTTAGGGCCAGGCAGGTTCCATGCCTTTTGTGACGCCCTTTCCTGTGATCCTGGGCGGGTCTCTCCCGTGATCCCCTTCCGCACAGCGATGTGTTCCGTCCAGGCTCCAGCTGCTTCCGCGGGAGTGGGCTCCCGTTCCTCGGGTGGCTCTCCCACAGTCTCCTGGTGCTTCTGGGGTGCCATTGGGCTTCACAGACCCGCCTTCCGCGCCCTTCCTGCTCTGTCTGCTGGCTCTGTTTGGGTATTGCCTTGACTTCATCCAAATACCCAGCGGGCTCTTGGCCTGCGGCCTCCAGTTCCCTCTTCCTTCTGGAATCACTCTCACACATGTTCTTTCCCCTGGGCGTGTCCTCGGGGGCGATGGTGTCTGGGAAGTAAGCATGAGCGGTGGAACAGGCGTGGTGCTTCAGGAGGAGAGCTGGCAGGGTGGGTTTGGGGCTGGGAAGAGGGAGGGGTCCATTTATCTTCAGCTCCCAGCTGCATGAGGCTTATTAACTCAGAATTGAAGGGAAAGGCACCTTTGGTTTCACCTTTTCTAAAAGTTGATGCTGTTACTTTCAGAGGACAACGTTCCAGATTAATGCCGAGTATTTCGCCATGAGGTCGGTGGGCATTAAGAAAGAGAGGAAGAAAAACGGCCTGCAGTTAACCGAGAGCGTCCTTTCGGCGCTGGAGGAGCTGGTCAGCGTCGCTTGCGGTGAGCGAGACGTGGCTAAGGTTGAGTGCTCCCGCCAGAGCGCCGGATCCCGGGTGAGAGAGCCCCAGAGCGAGGCTGACTGGGGCCATGTTTGTCTCCCCTCCAGAGGAAGCGGACGGCTGCCCCATCATCCTGGTCTGTGGCGCTCAGGACGTCGGAAAGTCCACCTTTAACCGATACCTGATTAACCAGCTGCTGAACAGGTAAGCGTGCTCCTGTTGGGACAGGTTGCTCCAATTGGGACACGAAGGTGGAGTTTGGATTTAGGAAACTGGCCGGGATGCCTCTGGACTTCTCAGGAGGGCATTTACAACTCCGTGCCCAGCAACTCGGCTAGGTGAGGGCTCGGTTGCTGACCTGCCTGTCAGTGCGCCTCGGGAAGGCCACTTGGTCTCAGCGTCTGTATTTGTCCACATGGAGATTCAGAGCAGGTCAGCTCCACTGTCTACATTTTAGGGAAGATGACCATGTACCCTATCTTGGACGGACCCTGTGACCCATCCCATGTTCTCTTTAGGCACTGTACATGGATTGAGCCTGCCTACGGGGGGGGGGGTGTGTGTGTGTCAAAACCATCCTATCTAATAGAAGGCGTAACGACCAGATCGATTGATCGACCAGTCGCTATGAGGCGCATTGACCACCTCTCAGTCTCTCCCTCAGCCTGATTGCCGGATGGCGAAGGGGAACCACGGGGAACCGGGGTAGATGTAGGCAGGGGGGGTTGGACTGGGGACTGCCGAGCAGAAGGAAGATGGCCCTGATTGCAGGTTAGGCCTAAGGACCCTACTCGTGCACGATTTCGTGTGCTTGGCCTCCAGTATAGCACAGAAAATCCTTAAGATCTGCTTTATCCTTTCCACATAGCAAAGCTGGTTAAGATTTCCTTTTGAATTTCCAGTATTTCCTGCGTTGACTATTTGGAATGTGACCTGGGGCAGACAGAATTTACTCCTCCGGGCTGTATTTCTCTACTTAATATCACAGAACCGCTTCTGGGTACGTATCGTAGATTCTAGAACATGTGAGAGTAATGATACTTACCAAAAAGTCAAAGAATATAAAAGTATAAAATATGTGAGCATACCCCTTCAAACTCAGTCTTCCCATAACTGTTTGTCCAGCCTCCAAAAATTAAAAAATAAACTATGACACTTTGTGGGGTTCCATTTTAATATACAGACCTACTGTCCATTTTGTTATATGTAAGTTAGAAACACAGTTCCTTTTAGGAGCTGTGTTTCTAATACTAACATCTTATTTAACCCTATGTAATGATCTAAACCAGGAAGTTAACATTGATACAATGCCATTAATTAACCTATAGATTTTATTCAAAATTAACAAGTTACTCCGAGACCGGTTTGGCTCAATGGATAGAGTGTCGGCTTGGGGACTGAAGGGTCCCGGGTTCGATTCTGGTCAAGGGCATGTACCTTGGTTGCGGGCATATCCCCAGTAGCGAGTGTGCAAGAGGCAGCTGTACAAAATCAATAAAATATATTTTTTTTAAAAAATTAACAAGTTACCCATTAATATTCTTTTTCTGGTTCAGAATCCAAACCAGAATTCCACATTGTTTGTTTTTGTTACTTTTTTCTTATTATTTTTTAAAAATATATCTTTATCTATTTTAGAGAGGAAGGGAGAGGGATAGATAGAAACATCAGTGATGAGAGAGAATCATAGATTGGCCTCCTGCACACCTCCTACTGGGGATCAAGCCCACAACCTGGGCATGTGCCCTTGGCCAGAATCAAACCTGGGACCCTTCGGTTCACAGGCCAAAACTCTTATCCACTGAGCCAAACCAGCTATAGCTGTTTTGTTTTATTTTTTAATGGATTTTTTGGAAAAAGTGGGAGGAAGGGGAGGAGGGGGAGACATCTTTGTGAGAGAGACACATTGATTGGTAGCCTTCTGTGCTCGCCCTGATCAGGGCTGGGGGTTGAACCTACAACCCCAGGCATGTGCCCTTGACTAGGAATCGAACCCGAGACCCGGTGCTTGGGCTGACATTCGCACCAGTGGAGGAACCCTGGCCAGGGCATGGACTCATTGCTGTTATCTGTCTTCTCAGGACCACCGTTCACCCACCAGAGGACACCACAGAAAATGGTGTATTTTGGGAGATCTACTTGTAAAGACAACTATGAGAATTACATTGAGATCATCAAGTATGTGTTCAACAGCTACAAGAGAGAGTCCCCTCTCATCATCAACACGATGGGCTGGGTGACAGGTAAGGCCACCGCGGCCCGCGGGGCAGGGAAGGCCCCGGGGGAGTGAGCTCCTGGCTCAGACCTGCGGCTGGAGCCAGTTTGGGGGAGATCCTCCGGCCGAGCGCCGTCTCGCAGTGACACCGCCGCCGCCGTCCTCTCCTTCCCGCAGACCAGGGCCTCTTGCTCCTCGTCGATCTGATCCGCTTGCTGTGCCCGAGCCACGTGGTTCAGTTCAGTTCCAGCCGGAGCAGGTTCATGCCGAAACTCACCCCCAGCTACGTCGACGACATGGATGGCTTGTACACCAAGAGCAAGGCCAAGGTCAGAGACCGAGGCTTCTGCCTGCCCGAGTTCGCAGACAGCCTGGAATTTGGTGACGAAGAAAAGGAGAGTCCGGCGGCCTTTTCTGGACATAAGCTGATGTGCGTCCAGTCGGACTTTGCGTTTAGAAAAACGCCAAGAAATCGGTAAGTAAACCGTCGTGGCCGGAGAATTCTGTTTTCTCCAGTTTAACATGCCTTCTGCCCTCAATTCCTTCAGAGCGGTCAGTCCTGTGTCACTTTCCACCTCCAGTGCAGTTTGGGGCTGGGGGGGCAGTCAGGCGTTTTCCCGTGGGAATGTCCAGAGGGGGCTCCTGCTAGGAGAGCTCCCCGCTCCATGTCCCCACTCCGTGTCCCAGGGCTTAGAGAAAGGCAGGGCTGAGGGTTCCAAGGTGCACATGGATCTACGTAATGAAAGTAGGGGTGTGCCTGTCGGGGCCGCTCCCCACCTCCTCCTGTTTGCTTTGCAGAGAGTCGCATAACAGAGTTCTTCGGGACTTGGCCTTGTTGGGGTACCTGGGCCAGCTGCACCCCCCCGCGCCGAAACCTCTTCACCCGCTGCACAGCCTGACCCCCTACCAGGTACAAGCTGGCTGTGTGCGATGCTCTTCTGTCCCCTCTGTAGCTCCTCTTGTAACTGGCAGCACCAGCCCGGGGAAGGCTCAGTGACGCCCTGTTTTGCAGACGGGAGCTGAGGAATCCAGCAACAGTGGCAAAGTGGGCATCAAGCTGGGCTGTCCTGGGCACAGCTCTGGTGCCGGGCCAGTGGGCATGTTCTGCCTGACCCCAGAGGTGGTCCTGGGTTGAACCCAGGCAGTCTGGTTCCAGCGCTCCGGCTGCTGAGCTGTGTGGCTCTGTCGTTGGTAGAGCAGAGGCAGTACCGACCTGGTGGGTGGTTGTGCAGAGTCCACAGGAGTGCACAGTGGTGCCTGGCCCCCAGTGGGCACTCTTAAAGCCTTGAATGTAGCTGGCACCGTTAGATTCTAGCACCAGAGTGTGTGGATCTTGGGATCCAGAATTATTTGGGGAGAGGCCACCTTAACGCTAGAATTCCGGGTGACAGGAGAATGAAACAGTGACAGGCAGCATTTCCTAAGTGCTTACTCTGCTGTGCTGTGTCCTAAGCCCATGTTTCCCCCTTTACTCACAATGGCTGTTATAATCCCCATTTTACAGAGGATGGGGCTGAGGCCAGCTGACCCTAAGGGGCTCAGTAAAGGTTTGGGCTGGACTGCAGGCCGTGCAGCCTGACTCCAGAGGCCAGAGCATTCGCCCTCCGCTGGGTGCCCTGTCCAGTGTTGAGCCTCGTGGTGCTGAGCTCATTACCAGGACTGGCCTGGTGCCTGCCTGGCGCTGGAACCTGAGCTCAGCGACCTGGGCGCAGTCGGGTGGAGACAGGGCTGAGGCCTCACAGGCGGGCTCGGCAGACCTGCCTCAGCCTGACGGCGAGGTTGGCTGAGGCCTCCAGTCCCCCCGAGAGCCTGAGGCAGTTCGCTCCCTGGAGCTCTGCTCACTGGGAGAAGCTGTGTAACCGAGTTTGGAGTTTACTGCCAGTACCTAACCTGCCTTCTTTTCACTTCACGTTTGAAACCTAAGTAATATGTATAATAAAACACTTTTCTCGTTTAAGAAGTTGAAATTACCCAGGAAGTCACCTTAAAGGTGGTTCTTTATCTTGTGCTCCAGGCATGCGATACATTGGTTTTAATGGGCATACTGCCTTAGAGAACGAATGGTGGCTCCTCACGGAGTGGGTGTGGCTTTCTCCCATCAGAGGCCGCCTCCGTGCAGGGTCTTCCCCGCTTCCCGAGGCTGTGGCCCCGGCAGGACCTCTGCAGGCGTGTCTGTGTGTCCCTTCCGACAGGAGAGTCCCAGGCACCGGTTTAGATTTCTAGCGAGTGTGGCTGGCGCACAGGGGCTTGGCGTCAAGCTCTCGGGTGCCCTGTTAGAGCAGGGAGCCGAGCAGAGCTGGCTGGTGTTCCCATGCCCCTTTTTTTTTTTTTCCTTTTTTTTCCTTTTTTTTCCTTTTTTTAATTTAACATTATTTTATATGTTGCAGTCTTGGAATTTTTTTTTTTTAATATATTTTATTGATTTTGTACAGAGAGGAAGGGAGAGAGATAGAGAGTCAGAAACATCGATGAGAGTCATCGATTAGCTGCCTCTTGCACACCCCCTACTGGGGATATGCCCGCAACCAGGGTACATGCCCTTGACCGGAATTGAACCCGGGACCTTTCAGTCCCCAAGCCGACGCTCTATCCATTGAGCCAAACCGGTCCCGGCTGGTGTTCCCATGCTTTTAGAGACTGTTCGGCAGGCAGAACTTCAGAGAGCTGGCCAGTCCACTGATACAAAGGAAAGCAGTTTCTCAGAATTACCGGAGGGAGGTGGGGCAGTAAAGGGGAGGGAGGGCAGGTATACGGTGACGGAAGAAGATTGGAGTCGGTGCTGAACACATGACGCACTAGACAGACCGTCATGGAAGTGTACGCTTAAAAGCTACGGGAGTTTTTTAACCCGTCACAGAGAATTTAATAAAGAAAAACGAGCTAACGGAGAGGTGCCCATGGGCTTTGCAGGTCCCTTTCAGTGCCGTCGCCCTCCGGGTCATTCACTCCGATGTCGCCCCCACCCACGTCCTGTACGCGGTGAACGCCAGCTGGGTCGGCCTCTGCAAGATCCTGGATGAGGTGGGCGGATACACCGAGGGGCCCGTCCTGCTCACGCAGACTCCCATCTGCGATTGCCTGGGCTTCGGTGAGTGAGAGGGAAGCGTCTGTAACACACTGAACCTGACCCCTCGCCTCGATGGTCAGCTGCTCTGGCTCCACACGCCGTGGGCCTCGGGCCTCGGCTGGCAGGAGGCAGGTCTCCCTCTGCTTCTCCTCCGGCCTCTCAGGCCCGGGTCCCGCGGCCTGGTGGCGCCTCACCCAGCGTGTTATCTCAGTCCGTCTCCGGCTGCCTTCCCACAGGGTTCCAAGCCCGTGGTACCGGGTACTCGCTCTGCTCGGGTATCTCACGGCGTCCGGGTCCGAAACAGGTCCTGATGGTCCGCGGGCCCAATGTTCTCCCGGGTCCCTCCTCCCCACCCTGCCACCTGCTGTCCCCTAGGTCCTTCACTGGTCCTTAAAGATTCGCACTGGTGTTTGGGCCCGACCCCGGGTCCTCCACCTCGTTCCCCACATCCCCCACGCCAGGTCAGGTGACCTCTGTTCCTGAAATGAGATCGGCTCCTCCGGGTCATGCCCTCCCGTGCCGTGTGAGCGTCCTCATCCCTGCACTGCACCCACCCTCGGGAGAGACCTGAGCCAAGCGCCGCAGGCACGTCCTGACATCCTGGCCGTCAACGCAGGTCCAGGCCTGGCCACGCAGCCCCCCAGCCCTGGGCCCGTCCCCTCCGAGAGCCCACGGCAGAGTTTATCTCTTGGCTCATGAGGTCAATAAACGCCAGTGAATGTTTCTGGAAAGTTCACCCCAAATTAGCCGATTCCTTAAGTAATGACGCGTTTCTGGCTCATACGGCACCGTACTTCTCACAGCGTCTCAGAGACGGCCGCTGCAGACCGGGGACGAGGAGCGGGTGAAGGGCTGTCCCCAGGCGCTGGCACCGGCGCCGGCTAGGACTTTGGCGTGAGGACCACTCGGTGCCTCAGCCGAGCCGGAGGAACTACCTCGGCTTCCGGCATTCCCGCACTCGGTCTCCCGCCCCTTTGTATTTCCAAACAAAACCCAGCTGAAATTGGGGCTCTGCCTAAAAGCTGCTCTGCCGTGGGCGGGGGGGCCGGCGCCTGGCGGGGGGTGACGGCGTGTGCTTGGTCTCCCAGGGATCTGCAGAGGGATCGACATGGAGAAGCGGCTCTACCACATCCTCACGCCTGTGCCCCCGGAAGATCTGAGAAATGTGAACTGTCTGCTGGTCGGAGCCATCTCCATTCCCCAGTGTGTCCTCAAGAGCCAGGTGAGCGGGCTCCGGACGCCCGGGCAGAGGGCGCACCTGAAACTGGGCAGGAGCGGGGCAGGTCCTTGTTGGGGACGGACACTTGGTCGCCAGGGGAAGACAAGGCCATGAGCCAGCAGCTGCGGAGAGCCATTCCCATTCCCGAGGCTGAGGCCATCTCCAGGGGCAGCCCAGAAGGTCACTGGCCAAGAGCACCTGTGTGGGCCCTGCTGTCCCCTTCTTGCCTGCTTGTTTGAGATTGGAAAACCCCACACTTACCACTGGCTGTTGGATGTGCTTGTGGAGTTGACTAGACCAGTGGTCGGCAAGCTGTGGCTCGCAAGCCACATGTGGCTCTTTGGCCCCTTGAGTGTGGGTCTTCCACAAAGTATCTGTGCAGTTGAAACATACAGCGTGATTAAAACTTCGTGGCCCACACGCAGAAGTCGGTTTTCAGCTCTCAAAAGAAATTTCAGTCGTACTGTTGATATTTGGCTCATTGACTAATGAGTTTGCCGACCACTGGGTAGACAGACAGGAGGCGGTCATCTGGCCCCTGGCCAGTGCTTCCGGGCCTTTGCGGGGAGAGCTCAGAAGAGGGGGGGCTCAGGATCGGGCGGGGCTCACTTAGACTCCACACTTTTTGGGGGGAGTGGGGGGGCAGGCAGAGGAAGACTGGGCGGCCTGGGAGTTTGCATGTTTTCCGTTTCCTTTCAGCTTGGGTTCGAGGGGACGATTCCTTACGTCACAACAGATTACGATATTAAACTTCCTGGAGCGACAGGGAAGATCGGAGCCAGAGAAGCCGAGGAGACGTATGTAAAGAGACAACACCCAAAAGCGAGGTTCCATCGGAAGGCACACTGACATTTCTCCCAGCGAGGCAGCTGCCTCTGTCCCGCCTGACGCAGCGGACGGTGGGCTCCGCGCTGCGAGCGGCCCTGGGGGCAGGGTCCTCAGCTCGTGGGAGCCAGTCCACTTCAGCCCCCCCTTAACTCCGCGACCGCGCCCCTCACCGCGGGGGTCCGTCAGACACGCTGCTTTACTTTCTAAAGGGAGGCAGCAGGGAATCATGCGCCGTTGAACAAAGTTCTTCAGAACCCGGTTGTTGGAATCTGGGAACAATAGGGAGACAAGGGCCCCAAAGATGGACCAAGGAGGAAGGCAGGCTGGCCAGCGGGATCCGAGTGTAGCGGGAAATGGGGACGCGCCTCGGCCCTTGGCCACCTGTGATGGCCGGCCGGGGCCGGGCCCCGCTGGTGGGTCGTTCCATCCCCTGGTCACGTGATTCCCATCCTCTTCCATTCCTCTGGGACCAGCAGTAAAGATGGTGTTTCATTTCCACTGTAATCAAGGTTTAGCAGATGGAGGTTTGGGCTCGAGAAGCCTTCTCTGTGTTTTTAATTAATATATTTTTTTATTGATTTTTTTTTTACAAAGATGAAGGGAGAGAGAGAGAGAGCTAGAAACCCCGATGAGAGAGAAACATCAACCAGCTGCCTCTTGCACACCCCCTATCGGGGATGTGTCCGCAACCAATGTACATGCCCTTGACCGGAATCGAAGCTGGGACCTTTCAGTCCGCAGACCGACGCTCTACCGCTGAGCCAAACCGGCTTTGGCGCCTTCTCTGTGTTTTTAATCCACTGGTTTTATGCCGAGGGAAAGCTGCTCTCCCATCCAGGCGCCTCTGGGTTTTGCCCTGATTGGCTTCTCCTCCGAGACCGAGCCTGGGCACAGCTCTGGGAGAGGCCTGGCAGGGCAGCTCCAAGGAGGCCCGTTCCTGCCATGGGCGGCTGGACCTGAACTTGAACACGCGGCAGCTCTGGGCTATGAGCGCCCGTCCTGAGGGCGGGAGCCGGTGCCGGTGCCGGTCTCCTCTCCTCCCTGGTGCTCAGAGGCCTTACCCCCTGAGGTGGGGTTTTGGGGGCAGAGAGGAGCCGTCTGAGGAGAGCGGGACACGGAACCGAGGCAGCACCTCAGACTCACTGTGAATGTCCGCTTCCTGTGGAGCGTGTGGAAGGAGGGCCCAGGACTCGCAGGCCCAGCACCTTCTCCGTTTAAATCGCTGGTGATCGCTGCCTTGAAGCTCTCGGACCCTCTGAGTGCGCATTCTCCCAGGAGCCCTGGCCCTCCGGGTGAATTTAGGGTTCTGGGACATTTGAGGTCTCACTTCTTCATTGCCTTTATTTATATTGAAGTTTATCGTGTACGCATTGTTCTATTTTGACTTTGCAAGTAATTGTGAGACAATCCGCCTCCTTCCCCGCCCTGCGTCTCGGTGACAGTCAGGTGACAGTCACTGCCTCTTCCGGACCCCAGGCTGCCTCCGTCCCGCTCCAGGCCCCTCTGTAAAGAGGCAGACGGGGCCACTAGGGGGAGCTGTCAGCCGTGGTCAGAGGGCCAGACCCTCCAGGCCCCTGGCTCCGGTCAGGCCGCTGTAGCTGTCCATTTCTTACCAATGTCAGTGGTTTGGGCTTGTTATTTCTAGGCGGTTGTGGTTCGGGGTGTGTAGGGATGAGTCTGCATTGAGTTATTCTTAATCATCAGTGTGTGATTTCCAAAGTAGTACATGCTTATTCTAGGTTTATTTTATTTTATAAACAAAGACAGCTCAGTGTTCCCTCCGGACCTCACTAGTCCTGGGGGGAGGGTAGGAGTCCGTATACGCCCAGGCCCGGTCTGGAAACGAGGTTTGGGGGCGGGGGGAGAGGGGGAGACATAGCGACACGCCCTCAGGTGCCTTGGATTAGGGTTTCCCAGAGATCGGACTCTGGAAGTGGGAGAGAGGACGGGGCGGGGAGGTCCCAGGTGGAGCAGAGGCCCCGCCTTTGACAGCAGTGTCCCCCTGCCAGACACCCGGCTGTCCACCTGACGGTGTGGGGAGACTGTGTATACAGGGCTCCTTGCATGCCAAGTACTGAGTGTTTAAATGGACTGGTGGAGGCTTTTAGATTGGGATGTGGTGTCGTAAGACAGCAGGCTATGATGGTGGAGCTCCGAGTTCAAATCCTGGCTGGACCGCTGGCTCCATGAGGCTGTGAGGGAGACATTCACTGAGCCTGTTCCCCTTTAAGACGGATGGAAGCTCTCCCCGGGGTCCCTGCCTGCACGGCACCAAGGCCGGGCCCTCAGGAGCAGTGACTGCGGCCGTCTGGGAGGCAGGGATGAGACCGGCGGTTCGCAGTCACTGGGACGAAGCAGGACCTCCGTGTTGGAATCAGAAGCCTCTCATCTGGCCCCCTCCAGCAGCTTCACTTCGCCCCGTCCTTCCGGCCACATGTCCGCTAAAGAGCTCCCGTGAAGCACCCCCTTCCTGGGAGTTTTTCCTAAACCTCCGTCCAGCGCTTTTGAACTTGGATGAACAGGTCCCGCATTTAGAACCTGCTCGGCCCACTGCACGGAGAACCACTGGGGCCATGTGCTGTCTTATCTGGATCTTCTAAACGGTATGGCGTTTCCACCACGTTGGTGTCCTGTTGTATGTTTTCTGTCCAGCTCTTGTCACTCACGTCCCTTTTTTATCATTAAATGTTTTTGACGACATGACTTGGTGTAATTCCTTACGATCGTAGGCCATATTGTTTCAGGAAATGACTTCAGTGGTTAGGAGCGATGATGGCAGAAACACGGGGTAAAATAAGACCCTGGCGGGGCTGGGGGCCAGGACGGGGCCACAGGAGGCTTTCCCCGCGGTACTGAACACGAACGTGAACGCGGTGGCAGTTTTAAGTTTTCTGTTTGGGTCCCGGTGTGTGAGTTGAGAGGGTACGAACTCCTGGCTGTCTGGAGAGAGTATTATTAGAAGGAGAAAGAAGGTTTTGCTCCCGGAAAAGCTCAGATTAAGGAGCGAGGAGCCCGGGTCTGGGCCTGTCGCTGCCTCTGACAGTGTGAGCAGCTCCGCTCCCGGCTCCCCTCGCAGGCTGGGCCTGCCCGGAGGCGCCGGCTGACAGGCTGAGGCTGAGCGGTGGCTGGAATACATGTGGGACCGTCCGTGCCGAGAAGGGGAAGGAGCCACGTGATGCTCGGGCCTCTGGGAGGAGCAGCTTCGCTAAGCTGAAGGTTTCCGGGTTTTGCCAGGAAAAGGGGAGAGGGCTGGGCAGGCGCCGCGTCGGAGTCCAGTCGGGGCAGCAGGTCCCTGGAAGAGCCGGAGCTGAGTAAGCGAACAGCTGAGCCGGCAGACACTGTTGGGCTGGGAAGCCAGGGTTGCCATGGCAACTGATGCTCAGCAGACTGGCTTGGGCTTTCCTCGCCCTCTGGAACTGACTTGATCTCCCGGGTGAGCAGGGAGAAGCCACCGTCCTGCAGGCCTGCCTCCTGCCAAGACGGCTGGCAGGGCTGCTGCCAGGCCTGAGCAGCCGGGGTCCCTGCTGCTTTTCCCGGAAGGAAGGCAGCGAGGCGGCCGGCAGCCTGATGGATGCCTGGGAATGGAAAACCCGAGGGGAGAACACCGGCAGCAGGGAAACGCGGTGCAGACCTCGGCCAGGAGGCCCATAGCTAGAACATACAGCGCCCCAGGTGCCCACAGTGCGGGGAGGCAGCTCGGCCAGCGGAGGGCCCCGCGGCTGTCTGTGCCGCCGGACTCCGCCCGAGGAGCGAGGACGGGGCTGAGGCTGGGAGAGGCCTCCGCCGTGGGGTCTGCCGCCCGGCAGGCAGGGACACAGGCCTGGGCGCCTGGCGCGGGGCTCGAGGGCCGGGCGAGGCCGCCAGAGTCAGGCATGAATTCGGTCCTCACCAAGTACGGGTCCCCGCCTCGCGGCTGGCTGAGCCTTCGTCTGGGGAGCA